TAATTATTACTCACCCTCATGTTGTTCCAGACTTTCGTTCATCTTCGGAACACAAATTAAGATATTTTTGATTAAATCTGAGAGCTGGATCACTCCTATAGGCTTCTTAAGGGATCGAAACTGGTCGTCCCAAAAGTTATTAAAGACATTGTTAAAATAGTCCGAGTGACCACAGTGGCTCAATCTTAAGTTTATCAAGCGATGAGAAAACTTTTTGTGCGCAAAAAAACAAACAAAAATAACAACTTTATTCAACTATTCATTTCCTTCTCTGTACGGCCTCGAGATTTCAAGTAGTGGAACTGCGCAACGGTTCTGTGTTGTACGTCACACGCAGGCTCAATCCAAATTCACTCCTTGCCCCTACCCCTTGGCCCTCCGTTTTGCGCGTTCACGTCTAGGGGTAGGGTGTCCCGATTCTTGTTTAGATCGAGGGTTAGGGCTAAGGGGTAGGGCTACATAGCCCTCGAAACGGAGATTTTTCAGAGGCACACTCCAAACGGAGGGCTAAGAGAAAGTTTGCAGAATACATCGCGAATCACCGGCGAGATGGGTTCACAAACGGTTAAACATTTCAATTTAGCGCCAGATGACACCACCGTGCACTTTATTTACTCTTATAATAATGATATAGTCATTTAAATTAAGAAATTGTATAATAAATTACCTTTCCGAAACAGAAAAGACATACATTTCGAGGATGGAACGTTATAAGCATCATGTTTCCTCAAAGTTAAGAGCAGCTGCGCTGATTGTCAGTCGTTATATTGTCAGTCGTATGTTGCATGATTTCATGAAAGTATGATGTATTGCGATATCAGAAACAAAGAAAAACAAAATAATGACTATTGTAACGCTTGACGTAAAGGAAGTCAAATTTGTAGTTTTCTTATGTCTCATTAGAACTACAGAAACGCAACCCGATCTGGAAATCTTACATAGCGTGGTTATAGCAGATATAGGACCGCACAGCAAATCCAGAAGTGCCTTTCACTCTGTTACGACTTAACGAACCACTGAAACGATTTTGGAAACATTATTTTAAGGTAAAAAATATATCTTAGTGTTGCTTTAAGATTGAGCCACTGTAGTCACTTGGACTATTTTAACGATGTCTTTAATAACTTTTGGGCCGGCCAGTTTCGATCCCTTAAGATGCCTATGGAGGAGTGATCCAGCTCTCAGATTTAATCTAAAATATCTTAATTTGTGTTCCGAAGATGAACAAAAGTCTTACGGGGTTGGAACAACATGAGGGTGAGTAATTACTGAGAGAATTTTCATTTTGGGGTGAACTAAGGACTTTAAGGACTACAACAAACGGCTGGTAGGGACTACATGACATTCCTCCTGGGTCAGTGACACGAAACCTAAAATAAAATAAAACGCCCCCCGGAACCCGATTTATAGATTATTGACACAAAATATGCTAATCAATGACTAGAAGATAACTACACATAAGCTACATAAATTCATTGACTAACCATTCAGAAATGTTGTCTACATCACTTCTTCTTGAGTCTCTCCATCATTGTCTGACTCCGGTTTAAACATAAAAGGCTAAAAGATTTAGAAAATGTTCAGGACACAAGCTGTTGTAGCGGCACCCTCTGCGCCAGGAGCAGCAGCTCATTTGCATTTCAAGGGACAGACACAAAACCGGTCCGTTTTTGCTCACCCTCAAAAAGTGACAATTTTAACATGCTATATAAAAACATCTGTGCTGTGTTTTGAGCTAAAACTTCACATACACACTTTGCCTTTGTGGACATCAAATACTTATTTTACATCTTGTAAAAAGGGCATTATACCACCCCTTTCACAAATTCACAAAACATCTATCAAGGATCATCAACACCAATGAGTGCGTGGAGTGAGTCATTAAGTCCAGCCCAGAAGAAGACAATGAGCGAACGGTCAGGAAAATGGGTCTAATAGGCTAGGTCCAAAAACACATGGGTGTGATCCTGAGGGGAACGATTCACCATGACAGAGGAGAAGGAGACAAGCTCCCAGGGGCACAACTGCTGGATCCATTTGCTTTTGTTCTGGCGTTCTGAAACACGGAAAGATGGAAAGATGGAGAGTTTAAACCCTTGCGGAACAAAAAATATATGGGGATATACTGCAAAATATAATGCGATATATTTCATAATACATTTCCATATGGGAAACTAGTGCTTATATTTTTCAATATACTGCAATGTATGGATTGAGCATGTATGTGTCACGTGTCTGTCCTGTCTTGTATTGCACTTGGGTGTCTTTGTTATGTTGGGCCATGTGCTCTCGTTGTTTGATCCCTCCCCCTTGTTACCTGATTAGTGTTTGAGTTCTTCCACCTGTTCCCTCTTGATTTGTTCCCTTTTTAAGTCTCCTCTTGTTTGCAGTCTTTGTCGGATCGTTGTCATATGTTTTCCCTGTTTCCGTGTGATGGTCTTCGTGTTCAGAGTCAGTGTTTGTTCTTCAAGTTAGAGATGGGGAAATGAAGCCTCGTGAATCAATGAGGCTTTCCCCTGACTGTTCCGGGAAAAGATTCAAAGCTTCGAGAGTGTCGAGAACAGCGCCATCTGGTGCTTATTTAAAATAAAGCAGCCAGCAGCCTGTGTTAAAAGCTCTGTCAGATGAAGCAACCACAACACACTCCATAATTTCAATGTTATGTGTAGAAATAAAAAGCCTTACACGTTTGTGTTTGATTTGTCCATTAATAAATAAATTATTTTACCCATTAAAGTGTGACAATAAAATATAAAATGAGCATATGATTTAATAAGATCTAATGTAGGCCTACTCTCTCTCTTCACACACACACATAGTGAATAAGGACATTGTGTGATAGGATCATCTGTTCATCTGACACTTGGCAGTGATAGTGCTTATGTAACTGTAGGAATGACAGAAAGGTGATAAAGATTTTAATTATTCTGTAATGCCAATGTATATAGATGGGGGTAGACATGTTTCTGCATTATCCAGTATCCAAGTGGATCTTCAGCTCTTTGTATGTTTGTCTCTGTAAGGTATTTATCCACTTCTACGATCGCATCAGAAGTGTCATTTGAGCTTTGTTTGCGCTGGTCTACAGCACTTTCCAACAGAAGACAAAGGTTTCCACCTCAGAAGTGTGAGGATAAATTTTTTTTGTTGGGAGTGACTGTACATGTACATTGACTGAATATAAGACACATCAACGGTCAACAATTATACAATACAATGATAAAAAATAAAATAATACTAAATAAATAAATAAATATTTATTTCTTTATTTCTTTTTTAGAAATGCATTCATACATTGGAAGCTATAAGCTCAAAATATTCCCAGTTAGGGGAAGTCTTCCTTTTTTTGGCTGTTGCCATTGCTGTAAATACAAACCCGTCACCAAACACCCAAATACCAACACCAAATTACCTAAAAAACACCAAAAGTGCAACGATCGTACAAAAACAAAAAGACACAACAACAACAACAAAATAATAAGTAGTTTTGGTTATTTAAATGTAATGTATTGATTAACTTTCAAAGTACAGCACTCTCCTCACAAACCCATCAACCAGACTGAGCCAACAAGGACCTTCGAGCCTTCTGACACCCAAAGCGAGACGCGCACGTGATTGGACAGAAAGTGAGGCTTCGTTTGTCATCGATCACGTGACCTTTGGAAAACCAATACACACCCCGATACGGGGCTTCAATAGAAATTGCTTCGCTTTCGCGATACGCACATCGAAGCTTCAGTGTCATATGTAACATCACTACTTCAAGTTCAGTTTTGTTTAATGTCTCATTTATTGTGATTTCTCCCTTGTGGGTTTTTGCTTTGTGTTTTGTTTTCTTTTGTTAATAAATCATCCGTTGCTGCACTTGAGTCCTCCTCTCCACTTTTTGTAACTGTCACGTGACAGAACGATCCGACCATTTGAGGACTCAGCTGCATGGATGACGATGATTTTGACTGGATGGATGATGACGCTTGCATGGACGACG